CACACACACACACACACACACACACACACACACACACACACACACACACCAGAAAGAGACAGAGACTGAGAGAGAGACAGAGACAGGTTTATGTAGAACTATGTGGACAGGGCTGCCCTTGAAATCACAAATCTTTCCTGCCTTTCTCCCCCTGTTTAGAGACACTCTGCCGTGGCTTTCCTTCCTACTTCCCCAACTTCTAGTAAGGCTGGACATTTCTTCATATGATATGCTATTACTATTTGGCTATCCCTTCAAATACCCATGCAGGTAGGGGCGTGTGTGTGTGTGTGTGTGTGTGTGTGTGTCTCCCCATTTCTGGTACTGGGATGGAACCCAGGGCCTCATGTCTGCTACATAAGCACTAAGTTATATCCCCAACTCTCTGGGTTTGAACTCACTCTGCAGTTAAAATAGACCCTGACCATGAAATTCTCCTGCCTCAGTCTCTGGAGTAGCTGCAATTACAGGTCTATGACCACCAGATTTGCTTGTCTTTTTCCTAATTGGAATGGTTTCTTCATATATACAGTGCCTCTATCACATGCTTGGAGCATCTTTTCCTATGTTGTGGCAAACCATTCATACATGCATATATATATATGTATTGAGAGAAATCACTCCTTAGACGCCTGGAGGAAGGAGCATGGCATGCTCTAGCTAAGTTGCCAGCAAGGCTGAGGAACCTGAAACTTAGTGGCCTACCACTGTTGAGGTCCAGCTTCTTCATGTTAAGGACACCAGGGTCCTTCTGCTTCTTCATGAAAGTTTTAAGTCATAACTAAAATAGCAAATCAAAAAATATTCTTATCCTGTTTGTTCCTGAGAGTGAGGCAGACAGTTGTTATTGGCCTTTTTCTTCACTGGTCTGAAATTCATACCCTATTTCTTACAAACAGCACTAGAAATTCACTATGTACATTTAACATAATATAGCCTGTTTCTCCACTTTTAAACCTATTTCAGTGTAGTCTTCAGCCCACACTGGTAGGTTTCCAGCCCTGACATCCCATAAACATATGGTGCACTCTGTCAAATGCTGAGTCTGACTGTCCCTTTTCATCCTTTGTATTGAGCTTCCCTCCTGACTTGACACTTGTGATCTTTCCATCTCAAGGTGCTTGTCCTTAAGGATGCTCTGACTATGCATCTTCATCTCCACTCAATCTGCTCTCCTTCTTGGGTATCTCTTCTTCAACCTACTCAGAATGAATTGTTCCCCCAAGGTTCTTTTGTTCACTTCTCATTTTACTATTAAGCCATGGAAAATTTCCTCTCCAGGACTTTCTGGAGCTACTCTGTTGCTGTTAGATTCTAGATACACATGAGATGATATGGCAATCTGTCCCAAGCTTATTTTAGGACTTCTAAGGGACACCGAATAGCATTTCAGGTGCCTCATCATGCATAAAACTGCTGCCTTGAATCAGTCCATTCTTCCCTCGTCCAGTTTTACTGTCCTTCTGTCCTCATGGCTTTCATCTTGCTTCTTTAGACATGTTATTCACAGTGGTACA